ACTCAGGGTTGATTTCCTTCAAAATGGATAGGTTTGTTCTCCTTGCAGTCCAGGGGACTCTCAAGAGTCTCCTCCAGCACCACAATTCAAAGGCATACTACTTTTAATTTCCTAGTTTAGTTTGTGCTTGCTTTTGTGTATAATAACAATTGACTCTCTATGCTCTGCACAGAGAATGAAGGATGCAGAAGTAGGAAAAGGGAAGGTAAGATTTGCTAATCATATAGTAGCACAAATGAAGACAGTAACAGGATGCACACTAGATCTGCTTGCTGTTCATCCTGGAGTCAGATAAGCCCCAACAACTGCTCATGATTGTAAAATGTAACAAAAAATGAATGAGCTTTGGCAGCAAAAAAGAGGAGTGGTTATAACATCTTAAATAAAAATAAACACAGAACACTAAAAATTCTTGGTGTCTCAGACTAAAATAGAAAGTGGTGTGATCTCAGCTGCGTTTGGAGGTTTGTTGTTCCAGCAAATCATCAGTCCTAGTAGCTACTTCTTGCCAAACCTCCATAAGATTTGAGTTTAACAACTACTCTTTGTTTTCTGTCAGGTATGTTTGAGTCATAATGTACTCCATACAGTGGTACCTCGCAAGACAATGACCCTGCTAAATGATGAATCCGCATAACGATGACTTTTTCCGATCGCTGTAGCGATTCTCAAAACAGTCATTCCAATGGGGGATTTTCGCTTGATGATGATTTGGTCCGTGCTTTGCAAGATGACGGTTTTTACAGCTAATCGTCGGCTTCGCAAAATGGCTGTCCTGTGTTTTCCAGACCCATGCTTTGCAAGACAGCCATTTTTACAGCTGATCGGCGCTCGCAAAATGGCTTCCCTATGGGCGATCTTTGCTGGACGACGAGGTATTTTCCCCATTGGAATGCATTAAATGGGTTTCAATGCATTCCAATGGGGAAACGGATTTTGCACGACGACGATTTCGCTAAACAGCGTTTTCAATGGGACGGATTATCATCGTCCTGCGGGGCACCACTGTATTTATGCATTTTGTATTGGTTTCATTAACTCTTATGAAGAAAATGAAGAGTGTATGGGTGGCAGTAACACAGGTGTTTTTTTGGGAGGCCTATCCTCTTATCCAGTGTGGTATAATGGATAGAGTGATGGATTAGAATTCAGGAGCCCTGGTTTCAAATCCCTGCTCAGCCAGGAAACTCACTGGGGGTGTGGAACTGGTAAAACCACTCCTTAAATATTTCATTTACCTTGTAAAGCCTTTTATAGTTGCTGAGTCAGTTCTGACTTGACGGCACATAACATAATAACATCCTCTTACAGCCCTCTCTTGAATGCTTATTTTAATGTGGTGAGGAACTTTGAATGTCTCATGGACACTGAGAGCAATGCTGTCAGAAGACTAGACTCCACTGCTATTCTAGACTCCTAGCAGGGTCACCAAACGCAGAATGGTCAAAGCTGAGACATCAGACTGTGATGCATCCATCCTATGTAGGATTAAGGGTCACATCAACAGAAGATAATAGATAGCTCCAATGGTGATACAGGTAGTGAAATAGTCTGGAGGGCAGTTACTGGGCAACAGCAATGGAAGGTAACACTGCCAGAGGATATTTCACAAAGAATGGAAGTGGCACTCAAGCTAATTCTTGTTAGCACTGCAAAGACAAAAGCAATGGTAAACCTTTTCTGCATATTTCTTGGTTTGAAAATCCTATGATGAGACAATCCAAAATGGAATAAGAGATAATGCTAGAAGAGGAAACTCCCAGTCAGAAGAAACTAAGTGAGCTACTAGGGAAGAGCAAAGGACAAGTACAAATAGTGCCATCACTATTGAAGTAACTGAATCGAAGTTGAAAGGACACCTATTGGCTGATGTGCACACAGGTGAAAAGAAAGTCTGTGCTGCATGACAAACAGAATTGGAAAGTGGAAGGTGAATTGAAAACTGTAAAGCAAGAAATGGAGCATCTAAACATTGCAGTACTCAATGTGACAAAACTAAAAGGGACAGGAATATATTTTCAGCCAGACAATTACAAGATGTTTTACTCTGGAAATAGGAAAAGAAGAACTAAATATTATTGGTGAATATGAAGCAAGAGAACAACTCATAGAATTCTGGGAAGTGAGCAACCTGTATATTGAAAGTTCATACTTCAGGCAAACAGATGAGAGTACATATGGGCATTATCAGATAACCATTATAGATATTAAACAGACTATTGGAAGTAGTAGATGAAGATGCTGTGTTTTCTCTGCCAAAAAAAGACCAGGAATAGATTTTCGTACCAACCACCACTCTTAATATTAAAAATTAAAATGAACCTGAAAAAGAAGACTAAAATAATTCTAGTGGCAAAATATATTTTAAATAACATTTCTGATTAATTTAACTCCGCATAAAGAATAGATTTGCATTACTAAACTCAGTAATGAAACATGAACTAGAAGAACTCTGAATTGAACTATGAACTGTGAACCATGAACCAGAAGAAACAGATTTGCATTACTAAACTCAGATCATAAACCGAAAGAACTGTGAATTGAAACCAGAGATATTAGAAAGAAAGAATGCAAAAAAATTATTGCTGTAGTAAAAAGAAAATAAAAACCCAGATTTAAGAAACACTTAAACACTTAAGATTGTTAGAGACAGACAAGAAGGAAAAGTAAAGGGTGCTGGAAATAGGCTCAGAATCCTAAATGCACATTTTCAGTGACTACTATAAAGACAAAGAGATCTATTATAATGATCAGTGCAAAAATATGGAGAAACATAGGCAAAGGTGTCAGACAAGGGTGCATTTAATCTGTCTGTTCAGTCTATACACAAAACATTTCATATGGAAAGTTAGAAAAGCTTCAGATGAAGGTGGAGTGAACATTGGTACAACAAATACTATATCAATAAGTTAAGATCTGCAAATAGTGCTATGTTACTGGCATACAACAGCAGTGATTTGAAATGATTCCTGTAGTGGGTGAAATAAGAAATGAGGCCTGTAGTTGAACATTAAGACCAAAATCATGATTATAAAATAACTATATAATTTAATATTGACAAGGAAGAGATTCAAATTGTTAAAGATGTTATGTAGAGTAGGCCCCCCATATCTGCAGAAATCAGTATCTGTTGCTTCAGTTGCAACAGCCTGCAATGTGCATGCACAATTAGCTCCTCTTCTTGCCCTTCCCTCTCCTCTTGCTCTCACTCATTCTCTTTAATGGGATACATTGTATCCATAGTTTCAGGTATCCATGATTGATTCTGGACTGGATCACCCACAGATATGGGCATGTGGGGGACAACAACTGTACTATCAAACCAAATGGAGACTGCAGCTGAGATGCCAGGAAACTGAGATTTGGAAAGGCAGCTATGAAGAAACTAGAGAATAACATCAAGTGTAAGCATGTGTCACTGGAAACCAAGGCCAAGTTCATGATTATTATGTATGAATGTGAAAGGAGGATAGTGAAGAAAGCTGACCAGAAAAAGATCAATTGATATGAAATACAGTGCTGGAGCTTTGCAAATACCCTGGACCACCAGAAAGAAAAGTGAGCCCTAGATTAAATCAGGTCTGAACTCAGAGAAGACAAGACTCTCTGGAAAATATAATAATGCTAGGAAGAACTGAAGGTAGACAGAAAAGAGGAAAGCCAAAATAAGATGGATTGATTCTATAAAGAAAACCCAGTCCTCAAGTTTGCAACAGATGAGACATGCCGTTGATCATAGGCTTGCATTTTGATGACATTGCAGGCACTTTGATTTGAAGTTGCTTTGGAAGCAAAATGACTTTTTAAATGATGTTAGTGTGTACCAGACCTTTTCTGAGGTAATCTCCTGCCTACAAATAAAAGTGATTCCACATTTTTAGTGCATCTATGGACTAAGTTGGCAAAGCTGATACTCTTAAGGTTAAGTAAATTTCACATTGTTTGGATGTTAAGACCTTTTTATACTACAATTTTTTCATGCAGTAAACATTAGTGTTTACTTATGTTTTGTAGAATCCAGGCACTTTATTTTGTAGGGATATATTGTGTTTTGTTACTTCTTGATCCCAGTAGTTGCAGTTTGAAATGGAAGGTGGCTTAGGGGTGTAGAGTTCACAAAGCATCTTAAATTGTTCCTTTCTGGTTGTTTTACTGCTCAACATCATTACCCAGCTGCTTTGCAGGAAGGGGTAAGGAGGACTTTCAGCATAGAAATGAACTGAGGGGAAAGGGTTAAGAAATATGCACCAGTCTTTAGCTTCAGATTGCAGCCTCAGCAGCTTCATTGTATAAGATCCCCACAGTACAATAAAAGGGACTGGAGCTCTTTGAGGGCCAGATCACACAGTACCTTTCATGTATGTACCCTTACAGTCTGTTCCTAGATAAACACTGACATGGACAAATATAATAAATGAACTGGGAATGTAGGGATATGGCTGGCAGCTATATTTTTCAATCAGTTCCCACAGTGAGGAACTGTTCACATGTACATGTATATAATAAATACTGTGAAAAATAGATTGAATAGGAAATATTTTGGCAAATGCTCACCATTTTCATGAGATAGTTAGAAAAACTGTCTTAAAATTAGCTGTGGATGATAGCCTTTCTTCCTCTGGTCAGGGACTTTCCAATTTATATGAAGAAAGGTTTTTCAAGATAACAAAATCAGAGCTTGCTTACCCGGATTAAAGAAATCATATACCAATCAGGGGCAAAACATCTGTGTCTTTCATAGCTTCTTGTAAGTCATATTATACCACCCAAGATAGCCCATGTTCCTTCTCTTTCTTTGAATTTGATACCTGCTTCTGCCACAATATCATGGGCAAGCACACATACACTTTAATTAAAGGTTTGTCCTGTTTGCATTGAGAGCAAAGTCTGGAGTTGCCCTTTCAGCACCTATGTAGATTCTAGTCCGTGCATTGGTCTAATTAGCCACAACCAGTTTTCATTGCTGATGCCCTTCAACATTTTCCTTCTTTTCTTTGAAGGCTAAAAGAAGCAGCCAGGTAGGGGCCCATATCCAGACAGACGTGGATGATGCCAGAGCTATGACAGGGACTGCAGTCTTGGCACTGAAGGGTGGTGATCAGTTATGGAACAGCCAAAGGAGGAAGTACCTGAGGTCAGGGAAGAGGAGGAGGAAGAGGAAGAGACAATGACAACTATAGGAGGTGGCGCAAACTCAAATGAAGGACCAGAAAATTCTGCACCTTCTATCAGTTACACAGGTAGGTTGGAGAAGTAGAGTCACGCATCAAACTCAATTTAAGAAGAAATTGGGTTTTGTTTGTAGAATAGATTTCCAAGTGATTTGTCCTCAAGAGAATGGCAATCACCTTATTCACTGAAGTGGCAAATCTAATACAGTATATGTATGCTTTAATAGTGATTCCTCACAATCAAGTTTGTTATCTAGATAGCTCTTCTTCTTTTATTTTCATCCTTACTGCCAGTTACTAATTCTGCCCTACTTAGCTCTGGCTTGGCTTCCACAGCACTTTTTTCTCTTCTGTCTGCTATTCGACCTCTACCTTTTAATCTTTCTCTCCCTTCAATTCTTCTTCTTCCTGTAGTTATTCTGATGGCTCAGAATGTAGCATCTTACTTTTCTTTTGCAGAACAACTTTTTTTGTACTCCCAACGGTACTCTCTGCTTCAGATTCAATTGCACAGAGTGATTCTTAAACTATCTTTCTTTATTAATTGCATGTACAGCCACTCCTTAGCAGAAATTCTTTATGTGGCTCAGCAAACAGAGATATTAAATAAACATAGAATAGTAAAAATTATTATGACCAAAACACATATTAATGAGACAGCCAAATTGTGAATTAATTAATAGGTTTGGAAGAATAAAATGCTCTCAGCCTTGCACCAAAAGAACCTCTGAAGATACTCAGCAACTACAATGTCACCACCAAAAAGGTTCCCTCTCTAACAGGCACCTTTTAACTTCATGTAGGAGAAAGGTGAGTCTTTCCCCTACAAGGAAAAAAAAAACTTTGAAAAAAAGCTACCCCAGCCTAAAACAGGTGAGACGCGTGGTAGTATTGCCCCTATATCCACAGAGGATGTATGGAGCCATTTAAATAAGGGTGGTGGTGGTAGGTGAGAATAGGCTTTTTCAAGTTACCTGCCTTTCATTGCGGGGCATTACAAATCAATCTATGTCAAATCCGCCCTGAGTAGACTTTGTCTAGGGGGGGCGGGGTAAAAGTCGAATAATAAAATAAATCCCAAGTTTTAAATTCTCATTAATACTTCCTCGTGAATATTCTTCTGATGTCTCAATCTAGATATGTAGAAAAATAGAATTTCCATTTTTTTCCATCCACTCATTCATTTTTCTTAAGTTTTTCATTGTGAAAACCTTATATCCTTGACATAATATTCAATTTCATGACATCATTACTTGGCTGTAGTCGTTCTCCTACTACTCTTACAATACCACTGTTCAAGTACTTCGCTACATTGAATAAAAGTGTACTAATTTTTAACCGATATCTATTGGATATTGTGGGATGTGGTGGCGCAGAAGCCTCTGTGCTGCAAGGTCAGAAGACCAGCAGTCGTAAGATCGAATCCACCCGACGGAGTGAGCTCCTGTTGCTTGTCCCAGCTCCTGCCAAACTAGCAGTTCGAAAGCATGTAAATGCAAGTAGATAAATAGGTACCACCTCAGTGGGAAGGTAACAGCTCTCCGTGTCTAGTCACACTGGCCATGTGACCACAGAAACTGTCTACGAACAAACACTGGCTTTACAGCTTGGAGATGGGGATGAGCACCACGCCCTAGAGTTGGACACGACTAGACTAAATGTCAAGGGGAACCTTTACCTTTACCTATTGGATTTAGCTTATTTATATAATAGAGGTTTCATTCTGCCTATTCAAGAATGTTAGAAATTTGAAACAATAAAAATAGTTTTTCACTAAAACTGTTTGTGGTATTGAGTAAGTTTGAAGATCATCTTTTGGACTGCTCTTGGTTTGAAAATTCAGAGGGTTTACTTTAGCTGGGACAAGCAGTTGGATGCTGGCTTCAAACAACTGTAGCAGCTCTATGCTTGTTAGTCTTTGCAGCATTTCAGAACACCTCCACTTAGATAATTTTTTTCTTTCCCAATGATTGTCATCCATTTTAAAGCTTTGATAAGAGGACAAAATTATTTGCTCAGCCTGAACAGGAATTCATAACTAGATTATCTGTTGCCTTTCCTGTCTGTTGCTGTTTTTGGCAGTTTATACAGCAGAACTATGTAGTGTTAAGAGCAATCTATAGAGACACTTGCATGCGAATTGAGTATTGTAAAAAAATTGTCAGCTAATGCATTGACAGCCAATGTTGCAAAATATTTAATGATTCTGTTGAAGAAAAAAAAACTGATTTAGTCTGCCAGTAGGATGAAAGGAATGATAAAAGCTTGAGAGGAGACATTAGTTTGGTTTCAACATCGAAAAATTCTGTTTTGAATATCATTTTTGTATTTGCATAATTGTATGTTAAATGTTTGAATTCAGCTGCACAGAGAGTATTGAACATTAAAAGAATCATAGTGCCAAAATATAATTTAAATAATGTTTCTGGTGAACTTAAGGTCCATATAAAGAAACAGCTTTGCATTACTAAACTCAACAAACTGTGAACTGGATGAATTGTGGGTAGAAACCAGAAGTACTCTCAGGGATAATGCTGATAGGCAGTTCCTGTAGTTTAAAAAAATTGCAGCTGGCACTGCTTCTAAAACAGAGCAGTGGCAAGCGCCAGCTATTGATGTCTGAAGAATGTGAAACTGAAGTAAGATGTAGAGTTACTATGTGTCTGGCTGTAAGTAGTTGCAGAATAACATTGTAATGGGTTTCTGTTTTGTTTTCCTATTAGATCTTTCCCAGAGTTCTCCTTCTCTGTCAGACCAACTCCAGATGGGCTGTGAAGAAGCAACCTCAGGAAGTCTAAACGTAGAGTGCAGAGTCTGTGGTGACAAAGCATCAGGATTTCACTATGGAGTACATGCCTGTGAAGGTTGCAAGGTATGGGTTGCATGCAACATAAAAGGCTGTGTACAACCTGAAGTTTCAGGAGGGAGACTGCTGGGCTTCAGTGAGTAAACAGCAGAGGCTAACCAGAAGCCATCCTTCATAGGATAAGTGTGTTTCTGTCACAACCAGAACAGGGGCTAATAAATATGTTTATTTTAGTAGTGCAGAACATAAATACCACTGTACAAATAAGTGATATTATCTAGGCATGTACTCCAAAAAGATGAGATAGTGTTACTCCCTTAAATAGGCAAATAGTGAGATTCCTGAGCTGCACAAACCTACATAGCTAATCCTCTGGAATTTGTCACATAAACATGTGCCAGAGTTTTGCACAGCTTAAAGTATTCTCCAGCTGCACATCTTCTGTAATCTTTTCACTATTCTCCATGAATTTCTGGTCTCTCTGAGAATACCGAGTATGCTTTTAGATGCTCTCTTTGCCTGACATATTCCACAGGGCACCTGTGATTTATAGCTGCATGGAATTGCAGCTATGTTATAGTGCAACAGAGCATATCAACATTCTATAAGGCAATTCTAAAAATGGGTGCAGCCTGAACAAAAAATTGTAACTTTGGAATTTGAGTTTGGATCAGCACCAATTTGGCAGATGTAGCAGGGTTTTCAAAAAAACTGTTCTCTCCCCCATGCAGAAACAAGCAACCCTAAACATCCCCAATTTAAAATAGCTCATAAAAATTGAAAAGACCAATCTTGCTTTTGCTGAAAGAGAATGGTTTGTCCCACCTACTCTTTTGTAATTTGGAAAGATTCCAGGCTGCAAAGGCTGAAATACTGATCCTTTAAAAAGGCCTTTCAAAAGGTAAAAACAGCCACTTTGTTATAAGACTCAGCATGCATGGAACAGGCTTAGCAGCAAGAGCATTACAAAGTAATGTAGCAGCTTAATGGGCCTGGAAGGGAGATGTTTGGAAGGCAATGAAAGGTCACAAAAACAGTGAAAAGACAGGTTTTCTTTGAAGAGTTGTAACAGGTTTTCTTCAAAGAAAGTAATGAGGTGACATTCCTCCAGAAAGAGACATTTTGCCATGTATCCCCAGGAAATTAGCATACAGTTTTGTAAGGCATATTAAAAGCATTTGTGCATTACAAAATCACACAACAGTTTTGTTTGTCCCAACCCTGAGTGCTTCCAGTAAACATCAAGATTTCTGAGAACAGGCTTCTGACAAAAGTCTACAAAGAGGAAATCAGCTCCAGATCTGGGCCAATCTGAACTTTTGACCCTGTCAGTCAGGACCTAATTATCTGTCTCTCAAGAGGAAACTTTTAAACTCCATTTTGGTCAAACAGAAATTCGTGCTGGCAAAGAGATCCTGTGTCTGTAAAAACATTGTAAAATATAACAAATGTTCAGAAGTTCACTTGTTTAAGCTGTGAATCCCTTTTTTTTTTTTTTTTTTTTTTTTTTTTTTTTTTTTTTTTTTTTTTTTTTTTTTTTTTTTTTTTTTTTTTTTTTTTTTTTTTTTTTTTTTTTTTTTTTTTTTTTTTTTTTTTTTTTTTTTTTTTTTTTTTTTTTTTTTTTTTTTTTTTTTTTTTTTTTTTTTTTTTTTTTTTTTTTTTTTTTTTTTTTTTTTTTTTTTTTTTTTTTTTTTTTTTTTTTTTTTTTTTTTTTTTTTTTTTTTTTTTTTTTTTTTTTTTTTTTTTTTTTTTTTTTTTTTTTTTTTTTTTTTTTTTTTTTTTTTTTTTTTTTTTTTTTTTTTTTTTTTTTTTTTTTTTTTTTTTTTTTTTTTTTTTTTTTTTTTTTTTTTTTTTTTTTTTTTTTTTTTTTTTTTTTTTTTTTTTTTTTTTTTTTTTTTTTTTTTTTTTTTTTTTTTTTTTTTTTTTTTTTTTTTTTTTTTTTTTTTTTTTTTTTTTTTTTTTTTTTTTTTTTTTTTTTTTTTTTTTTTTTTTTTTTTTTTTTTTTTTTTTTTTTTTTTTTTTTTTTTTTTTTTTTTTTTTTTTTTTTTTTTTTTTTTTTTTTTTTTTTTTTTTTTTTTTTTTTTTTTTTTTTTTTTTTTTTTTTTTTTTTTTTTTTTTTTTTTTTTTTTTTTTTTTTTTTTTTTTTTTTTTTTTTTTTTTTTTTTTTTTTTTTTTTTTTTTTTTTTTTTTTTTTTTTTTTTTTTTTTTTTTTTTTTTTTTTTTTTTTTTTTTTTTTTTTTTTTTTTTTTTTTTTTTTTTTTTTTTTTTTTTTTTTTTTTTTTTTTTTTTTTTTTTTGCTTTGTGGCTGTGGATGGTCTTACTTGATATTAACAGAGCTTTGGTGCCTTTATCTTGGACTTCCCCACCCACATTTTGGAGGGGGGAAAGTGCGTCTTATGGTGCACCAAAGATGTTATATGCCATCAAATTACTTCTGAAGTGTGGTGACTATATGAGTTAATGACCTCCAAGATGTCCTATCATTAACAGCTCTGTTCAGATCTTGCAAACCAACATCATCTCATGCTAGATTGTTCTCTCTTCCTACTTTCCTTCCTAGAAATATTGTATTTTCTGCTCAGGTTCTGCTCAGGTCTTGAACACCCAAAGATGTTATATGCCATCAAATTACTTCTGAAGTGTGGTGACTATATGAGTTAATGACCTCCAAGATGTCCTATCATTAACAGCTCTGTTCAGATCTTGCAAACCAACATCATCTCATGCTAGATTGTTCTCTCTTCCTACTTTCCTTCCTAGAAATATTGTATTTTCTGCTCAGGTTCTGCTCAGGTCTTGAACACTAATATCTGTGGCTATTATGACAATCTGCCTAAAGTTAGACCTTTCTCTCTTCCTACTGCTCCTCCCCCTTTTTCCAGTGACATTGTCTTTTCTAGTCAGTTCTGTATTTTCATTATATGTGCATGGTAGAACAGCCCCCATTTACTCATTTTGCTGCAGTGAGAGTTCTGGCTTGACTTGATTGAGCACCCACTTTTCTGCCTTTCTGGCTGACTGTGGTATTTGTAAGGCTTTCCTCCAGCAGCACATTTCAAATGAGTTGATTTTTGTTTGTCTTTCTTCACCGACTTTCCTCCACATAGAGTGGATGATTTTGACCTTGGTTCCCAGTGCCAATCTTTGCTAATTCCCAGCTCTTTCTTTCTTTATTTATTTTTATTTTTATTTTTGGAAAACATGCAAACAATATGTTTGTAGAGCTTTTGGTCCAATATCACTTTTCTTCCTATCCCAAGGAAAGGATTTGGAAATTTGAACATAGCTATTATAATATACATTCTGTGGAGCAGGCATGGCAAAATTAGTTTACCTAAGAGCTTAAATGGCATATATGTTTCTCCATTGTATGTGTTGCAGTTACACCTTTGCTTCACCATTTCATTAAATCCAAAACAGCCCTTCAACATATTTTGCCACATCCCAGCTGCTTGCTTCTGTCTTCTCCCAACAATCATGCTCCTCTTCTAGGATCCTCTAGCACTGGGTGGTACAGGAGGAAAGTTTCTGTTGGAATTTTTCTGTAGCGTGTGCATACTTAAACTTCCATTTTAAGAAGCCTGGAAATTCAGTTCTTTAAAAAAAAACAACAACAAAAAAACACCCCTCCAGTTTGTCAATGTGGGATATTGTGCTTCTGTACCCATAATTCAAAATGCCAGGAAATGGCCTGATATTGTGGCACAATATCATGCTTGCATTGCCAGCAGGAAAAAGGATGCCAGGCTTAATATAGCAAAGGGCATTCTAAATGTTGACAACACCAATGGCAGCAGTCAAGATGGTCTACCGCAGTGGTCCCCAACCTTGGGCCTCCAGATGTTCTTGGACTGCAACACCCAGAAGCCTTCACCACTACCTCTGCTGGCCAGGATTTCTGGGAGTTGAAGTCCAAGAACATCTGGAGGCCCAAGGTTGGAGACCACTGGTCTACCAGATACCCCCTCGTGTTTACTACCATTCATACTTTTTGAAAAACAGCCCTGACAATTGCTTTGTGTTTGAGTGAGAAGTGGTTAGCTAATGGAAAAGGAAGTCAGCTCCTGGAATTTTCCCTTGCTTAGTGTCACTTTGTGAATGAATGTGAGCCAAAAAGGGTATCCTGTAGACATTACTGCCTGCTTCCATTGTTGTTGTCGACATTCAGGCTGCCATTTGCTATATAAAGCTGGGCATCCTTTTTTCTGTGGACACAATATTGTGCAGCAGTATCAGGTCATTTCCTGGTGTTTTGAATTGTGGATACCAAAGCACAATATCTTGCATTCATAAACCTGAGGATTTTTGAAGAACTGAAAATATTCTGCTCCTGATTGCTTGGCCAGCTTAGTAATCATAAAAACCCATTCTCCACATGCAGGTGCTGATGAATTATGGATACTCAGCATTTAACTTTGCAAGGTCACAAAAATACTTAAAATACACTATGCTGTAAAGAGGAGAGAGCAAGAATTTTGAAAGGGTGAGGCTTTGTTTATTCATACATCCCTCTGCTGGTGACTCAGGATATTACAAATCTGTTTCTCACGTTTCTTATACAGGACAAACCCGTTCAGGATTCTTGACTCCTTGTAGCATTCCTCTCTATTTGTGTATATTTATCCTGTGTGGTAGTTTTGCTTACAGTCTGTTTTCAGGCCTCACTGCTTCTTTCTGAAAATGTTATACTGTCCTGATATTCAAGTTGGCAGTAACTGTGGCAACCTAAAAGAACTGTTATTGTCAGAATAAATCTTTTTCCTGTTTCATTCCAACATTTGCCTGACTTCTGTGCCATTCACTAACAGGGCTTCTTTCGTCGAACAATCCGTATGAAACTGGAGTATGAGAAGTGTGAGCGGAACTGCAAGATTCAGAAAAAGAACAGAAACAAATGCCAGTACTGCCGCTTTCAGAAATGCCTCTCTCTAGGCATGTCACATAATGGTGAGGTCACCCTCCTATAACTCTAGATCAGGGGTCTCAAACATGCGGCCCGGGGGCTATTTGCAGCCTGACGAATGATAGTTTGCAGCCCCCGCCTTGCCTGCCCCCCCAGAGCGCCCATACATCCCCTGCTGTCAAGAATCAAAAAAAGCCTAGCCTCACTCGCCGGTTCTCTCCCAAGACAGCACCCCTTGCACCCTCCAACTGGAAATGCAGCCTACCAGCTGGCCCGCTAGCTGGCAGGCTGCAGTTCCAGATGGAGGATGCAAGAGGCGCTGTCTTGGGGGAGAGCCAGACCTTTTCCCTGAGTGCCTGAGCCACTGCCAAGTGATGCCTGAGAGTGGAGAGCGCCTCCAACAGTGCCACCAACAGCATTCGCCGCTGCCACCACCTCTTCCAGGGAAGTGGCTCTCTGGCTCTCTTTCTCTCTCGGCACCCCCAGCACCAGCTTGGCCAATGGCCGCCTCAGCACCCAGTGGTGCTTCCTTCTCCTCCTCCTCCTCGGAGCCTCACCCGGGCTAAGGAAACTCCTGGGCGGCTTCCTCGGGCTCTTGCTCCACTTGGCAGAAAATCTGATGCGGCCCAGCCTCACCCAGACTCTGCCTCCAGCGGCCCCCAGGTAAACTGAGTTTGAGACCCCTGCTCTAGATAGAGCAAAGGACAAGGAATAAATAGAACTGTATGTTTACTGTAGGGAAAATATTTAGTCTGACTTGGTATGGGATAAAGATTCCTAGTTTTGTCCAGTCTAACAAGAACATCTTATTTTGTTTAAAACATTTTGATGCACCTCCTCAATTTTTTAATGGTTTGCACCAGCATTTTCTGTTTATAGGCCAGAGTCCTGTAGCTGATCTATATTTGTATAAGAGAAATTATGTACTCGACTCTATTTTTCTGTGTATAAGACCAACGCCCCCCCTTTTCTAAACCAAAATGTCTTTCTTTGCAAGAAAGTGGAAGGGGAAGGCAGGGATCAAAGTGCTTTGATAATTCCTGCTTTTCCCCTTCTCTTTATTGTGAAGAAAGTGCTTTCCCCTTTCCAGTTTCCACGCAAGAAAGTGGAGGGGGAAAGGAGGAATCGAAGCGCTTAGATGATTTCTGTTTTCCCCCTTCCCCTTTCTTTCCCCCTCCACTTTCTTGGACTTGCTTGCGACGATACGCATTAAACTTAGTTTAATGCGTTCCAATAAGCGTCCAAACTTACCCCTCCAGCGATGTTTTCGCGTCCGGCGGCCATTTTGGAGCCGCCGATCAGCTGATCGGCAGCTCCAAAATGGCCGCCGGACGCGAAAACATCGCTGGAGGGGTAAGTTTGGACGCTTATTGGAACGCATTAAACTAAGTTTAATGCGTTCCAATAGGCTTTCCTTGCCCGCACAGCGATGTTTTCGTATAGCGAAGGTTAATCCGGAACGGATTAACCTCGCTATACGGGGCACCACTGTACACACAAAAGTGGTTTACTGTTCCCTTTTTCTGGGGTCACCCTAGAGTTGTGAGGCATGCTCACGGCTACACATGTTGACTTTTATCGCTGGAGGCGGGGAATTGAACTTCCAACATCTAGCTACACTGCCAGATACCTAAACTACTGAGCTATCCAGCCAGCATTCATGTGGATAAGTTGGATATAAATACTTTTTTTTAATTCCTATTTTCCTTTTTACATTTGTAATTGTATCCCATGGAAAAAAATGTTCAATAAATCCATAACCAGGAAGAGATATTGCTGCAAGTGCAAATGGAACCATTCCCAGCTTCTCTAGTCTACAGCCTCTAACTGTCACTGCTTTGTTGTACTTCTCCAGCCATTCGTTTTGGACGCATGCCAGAAGCTGAAAAAAGGAAGCTAGTGGCAGGACTGACTGCAACTGAGATCAGCTGCCAGAACCAACAGGTGGCTGACTTAAAAGTTTTTTCCAAGCACATCTACAATGCCTATCTGAAGAATTTCAACATGACCAAAAAGAAAGCACGGGGCATCCTGACTGGGAAAGCCAGCAGCACTCCAGTGAGTATCTCAGTCCCTGAGGCCTAGACATGAAGCCAAGTAAGTTATTTGCAGTCAAGGAGATTTAGTGCTGTGCAGAAGCTGCCTAAACAGATCCACCTACTTAGAAGAATTTCAGTCAATAAGTTGGTCTCAGTCATAACAAAACTGGTATGATCTAAGGGTGGGATTATTTCACCAGAAATCTTTGAAAAATTGTGAAGTCAGGTATTGCTGAACTCAGATCACTTGCACTAATTTGTAACTAGGATCAATTTTTGAATTGGGTTAAGTTTAGAATGTCAAACTCCTCCCCCCCCACAAAAAACAAATAAACTTCTTAAAACTCCATTGTCTTCCACAAGGAAGTATTTCTCAAATACAAATACTCCTTTTTCATTCAAACAAAAATGTCCCATGTGCTAATTGCACTGGCTTCAAACGCTCATTTTGACAGAAGGAGTGAAAGAGTTCAGAGAACAGTTTTGTTCACCTGTGGGATGGGATGTATGAGTTAAATTTTGGAAATATTGTACATATAGCTTAGGTTCCTCTTTGATGCTCGGTTTTTTAATAGGGGCCCAAGTGACCTCAGTGGCCTGCAGCATTTTCTACCAGTTTAGGCTAATGTGCCAGCTCGGATTTCTTCAGGAAATTTTCACCCATGCTGTAGTAACTTATTTAGACTATTGCAAAATATTATACATGGTTCTGCCCTTAGTGATGTCCTGGAAATATGAAGTAATTTATAATTATTTTATAATACAGCAGCTCAGATTCTGATGGGGATTGATTTTGTGTCTGTGTTTGCAACTATTTTGAAAATATTCCCAGTAGTTTCTGTGATAGGCAGAAAATCAAGAAATATGAAGAAATATGAGGGAAATGAGAAATTAAAAGCAATCTGAGGCTCTGTTGTGCCTCACCATTGTGTTATATATGCTTGGTAGACATCTAGATTCCACTTCTGCATCTGTTAACTCAAGGTGTTCTGTATCTGGCAAGATTTGAAAGTACATTGCAAACATCAAGCCCCAAGAGCAATGCTTAGTTAGTAATCAAGTTAAATGAAGTAGTAATGTTATATCATTGCTATCATTATTTTTCAGACTTGGATCAAAAAGTTTGATAGCTGTATGAATTGGTTATGCAACAAAAATATTTTCAAACATTACTTCTAAGAATATTTCACAACTTCCTCACATCTTTTTTACATTTTTCCCATACCTGTACTTCTCAATGTTACAATTTTGGGCCTGAGCAATTGAATTAAAGTTGATACCATGTTTTTCTCTGGGTTTTTGCATATCTAGTTGGTTCTCCACATTTAGAGAGATGCATCCTACACATACTTTTCACTTTCTATTATGTAGCTACCAGCCTCATTTTTACCCTTTTAGAAGCAGATTTTTCTGTTCTTACTCTTTCTTTAACTCTTATAGACATTAGAGGCTCCAGCAGCAATATCTGTCCTGTCATTTTTAATCTTGCCATTATTGTTATTCATTTGCAATACATTTTAATCTTAGGTTCCACAATACAGTGGTGCCTCACATAGCAACGTTAATCCGTGCAGCAAAAACCACTGCTAAGCGATTTTGTCACTATGCGATTTTAAAAAGCCCATAGAAACACATAAAAACGTGTTTAATGCGTTCCTATGGGCTTCAAACTGACCTTAAAGCGAAGATCCTCCATACAGCGGCCCTTTTTCGCTGCCTCTTAAGCGAGGAATACGTGCGAAAACACAGCGGGCGGCCCTTTTTTGACCCAGCGGCCATTTTGGAACCGCCGATCAGCTGTTAAAAAACCATCGCTTTGCGATGATCGGTAAGTGAAACAGGGAACCGATCATCGCAAAGCGGAAAAACCCATTAAAAACATCGCAATGCGATCGCTATTGCGATCGCAAAATCTTCATCGCTATGCGGCTTCATCGCTAAACGGCGCGCCCGTTAAGCGAGGCACCACTGTATTTCAATGGCAGTACATCCAGTACTCTTGCTGCTTCGTTGGGGCCAAGCCCAAATGGCAGCTTCATCTAGTAACTATAACATTAATGTTGAATTATAGGACTTTTTAATTTTAAAAAAATTACTACAAAGCAACATTTTGTATACAGTTAAAAACATTAAAAGGGTTAGTTGTGCATGATCAAACACATTGCACTGTAACAAAAACATTTTACACTGACAACACACAAAATACTATAAAGCAAAGTTATCCACAATTTTAAAAAATCATTATATATTGTATAAATATAAGGTAATTAGGCACATTAAAAGATTTTAAAAGAAAAAATATGCTTGAAGAAAACACACACAATACCATTTAATATCCACAACATAATTCTGAATATATATATATATTTATATACCGTATTTTTCGCTCCATAAGACGCACCTTTCCATAAGACGCACCGATTTTTTAGGAGAAGAAAACAGGAAAATATAATCAGTTTTCTTCGCTCCATAAGATGCACAGACTTTCCACCCCCCTGTTTTGTGGGAAAAAAGTGAGTCTTATGGTGCAAAAAATACAGTATATACAGTAAATGGAGAATTGAGAAAGGTTCAAAGAGGTGTCAGGTAGTATGGTTTGGTCTAGCAGAGTTAACTCTGTGCTGTATTTGCTGCTTAAAGTAGAAACAAACATTTATGATGACAGACTCCCCATATTAAGATAGGATTATCAGATGTGCAGACCTAAGAACTCACAGCCTTCTATGTGAAAACACTTCCACTGCATAAATGATAACATGTTTGAGCTTACTATACTTTGTTTTGTATTTTTTTATGGTTAGATAGCATGGATAAAGACATTTAGAATTAGATAGTGAAGAAACAGTGCTGCATTGTTTCTAAAAGCTCTTGTTATATATTATATATTTTTTTATTTGTATAGCCTATAGCTGGATTCAGCACTACAGAATTTTAACATATGCTTGTTCTTTGTAGCCTTTTGTGATTCATGACATGGATACCCTGTGGCAAGCAGAAAAGGGTCTGGTGTGGAAACAGCTGGTCAATGGGATACCATCATACAAGGAAATAGGTGTTCATGTTTTTTATCGCTGCCAGTGCACAACAGTGGAAACAGTACGGGAACTCACAGAATTTGCCAAGAGCATCCCTAGCTTCATTAGTCTTTATCTTAATGACCAAGTGACTCTACTGAAATATGGGGTGCATGAGGCCATCTTTGCCATGCTTGCCTCCATCATGAACAAGGATGGACTCTTGGTGGCCAACGGGAATGGCTTTGTGACACGTGAGTTCCTGCGCAGCTTGCGCAAGCCATTCAGTGAAATCATGGAGCCCAAATTTGAGTTTGCTGTGAAATTCAATGCCTTGGAGCTGGATGACAGTGACTTGTCTCTTTTTGTAGCTGCCATCATCTTATGTGGAGGTGAGACTGGGGAGTCTTGGAGGTGGTGGGAAGGAGAATTGCTGACAACATTATAGCCATTCTAAAACTTTGCAGATGGGGGCTGGACCATAGTAATATAGAAGCATTGCCTCATTATGGGTAATTAATTATGGTCTGAGGCTGGGAGTCTAAATCATCTAACTTGTTTTATTTGCAGTCCATGCATGCACCTAGAAGCACTAGAGCACTGGTTCTTAACCTTGGGTTACTCAGGAGTTTTGGACTGCAACTCCCAGAAGCCTTCACCACCAGCTGTCCTGACTGGGAGTTGCAGTTCAAAAGCATCCGAGTAACAAAGGTTAAGAACCACTGCACTAGAGGGCCCAATGCGGTTATCTCTAAAGGAAATATTCCTATGATTATGCTTTACATCCTTTTATCTTCCATTCGTCCCTGGGTTGTCAACCCAACACTAAAGCATACCTTCATTGCCCGCATTTCCCCAAGGATAATTTAGATTTTTTCCTCCTTCAATAGGACTAACTGCCCTATTAACTGAAAATTATTCTTGTTCCTTTCTCATTCAGTATAGTTGCTACTTTCTCCTTTTAAATTTTTTTTTGAAAAAATCTTTTGTCACTTCATCTTTTTTGTTTCCTGTGCACCTTACCTCTCTTCCAGCCTTTCACTGTTCTCAGCTTTTTAGGTCTTAGTCCTCTGTACTTGCCAGAAACTATTTAGATCTGTCTCTGGCCATTTGATGCAATGGTACTAGACAGGAATCTTTGGTACTCCAGCTGTTGTGGACTTCCCAGGAGCTCCAGGAAACATGAGCAAGGTTAAGGGATTTTGCAAGTGGTAATCAAAAACATCTGAAGACTCATGGTACCATCCATTCTTTGCCTCCTGGGTATTTCTTCTGCATCTACAGGGCTTTTTCTTTTTCAAAGTATGATGGTATTTTGTCAAACATGTTATCCCATCCCCACATTTGTTGAAATAGTGGGAATACTGTTATGGAAAAGAATAGAATAGTTTGAGGAGAGTTAGTAAAATCACCCTTTGTCTTGCTTCTGGGCTTTCCATGGGCATCAAATTGGCTGCTATTGGATCATAACACTGCATGAGTTGGCCTTGCAAGATGAAGGATCCTGGATGTTATAATATGAAACTGAGGCTTTTCCAAGCTCTGGGCCTGAGGTACTTGGTTTTGGATCCTCTTGTTTTTCCCATAACCTTGAGTTTGATCACTGTGGTACATACAAAAGTAACATATTATTATACGAAATAATTTCTTCTCCTTCTTTTTAGCCCCAGTTTATCTTCTGCAGCTAGTTAACTGAACAAACATAATGAAATATAAATAGCAGTTCAGTAAAGGTTTTTCTGGATATGTTTGAGAAATCACACTTCTATACATGTGATTTTCAAATAGAAATAAGTAAGCAAAATGTTTTGGTTTCTGCCTTCTTCAGTTGCTCTGGTAAAAGTATGATTTTGGATGTGGGTAGGTGTGTAAATGCTTTGAGTGTATTCCTGTATTGATCAGGGGATTGGACATAATGGCATTGTAGGCCTCTTCCAACTTCACTCTTCTATTATTTCTATGATAAATGTCAGTGCTCTCTGTGTTACAAAGGTAGAATCAACTCTGCTCAGTAAGTAGCCTTTAAAATATTTTTAAATAGGAGGGAAATGGTTAGCCTTGTGCTATCTTTTTTTTTTAAAAAGCTGCATACACTTTCATGTATACACACATGTGTGAGAGAACAAGAGAGCACAGAGTGATGTCATGCAGCAGTAGCCACACATTTATTACTATGTCTTTCAACCTTTTGACAAAGAAGGCTTCTCCCTGCAGTTGAAGTGTCAACCCAATGTGTGGCGGCAGTGAAGAAGGCCAATTCCATGCTAGGCATCATTAAAAAGAGGATTTAAAATAAAACTGCTAGCATTATAATGCCATTGTACAAAATGATGGTAAGGCTGCACCTGGAGAATTGTGTACAGTTCTGGTTGCCGGATTTCAAAAACGACATAGTGGAACTGGAAAAGGTGCAGAAGAGAGTGACTAAAATGGTTACTGGGCTGGGGTACCTCCCTTACAAAGAGAGGCTACAGCATTTGGGGCTCATTAGTCTAGAGAAAAGGTGCCGGGGGGGGAATGATTGAGACATATAAAATTAAACAGGGGATGGATAAAGTGGATAGAGGGAAGCTATTTTCCCTCTCTGGTCAATACCAGAACCAGAGACATCCACTCCAATTGAGTGTGGGGAGAGGGAGAACAAACAAAAAAATTCTTTACCCAGCATGTTGTTAGTCTGTGGACTGCCTTGCCACAGGATATGGTGATGGCATCTAGCCTAGAGGCCTTTAAAAGGGGATTGGACAGATTTCTGGAAGAAAAGTCAATCACAGATTAAAAGCTATGATGGGGATGTATAATCTCCAGGCTTAAAAGGTTGGTACCTCAAAATGTCAGATGCAGGAGAGGGGTATCAGGAGACAGGTATCTAGTTGTCTCGTGTGCTCTCAGAGGCATCTGGTGGGGCCACTGAGAGATACAGGAAGCTGGACTAGGTGGGCCCTTGGCATGATGCAACAGGGCTCTTCTTATGTTCTTAAGTGTGGCAAAAACCTGTAGAACTGGTTTGATTAGAATCTACAGAAAGACAAGAACCACACACTTGCTATATTGATAGTGACATCAAACCAACCTCCTTGCTCTTGAAATGTTTTGTCTGTCTTTTCATACTAATTTATTCCATTTTTGCTAGTTCAGACTTCATGCAAGAACCACTGAGAAAAAATAAATGGGCAATATGCTGTGTGGTTTCAGTGGGCTGGGGGCTGTTTCTTATATATACGCCAGCAGACCGAGGGCTACACTCGCAAGGAGAAGGGGCTAACAGGAAGGTGTGGCCAAAGAGGTTGATTTGCATATTTATCAATTTAATTTTTTATGCAGTAGCTATGCAATGTAAAGATTGCTTCCATGGTCAGAATACTATTGATGTCCATGTAAGTTTCACATAATGTACTGTATTAGATGTGATTAATTGGCCAGCTGCTGGAGCACATCTCAGTTGTGTGGTCAGGTGAATGACCAGGCATATTACCTGGCACCTCATCTATTAGTCACAATTAGCCACAGCAAGTTATGCAAACCATACACCGGCACTGTAAGGATTCTGGCCATTGAGTCTTTTGTTAACAGAAAAACAGGTTTAACTAAAATAATGGGGGTTTAACTTGTGCCTTATAGTGGCCAAACTTTTAAAATTATTATTATTATTATTATTATTTTGGTCTTTAGCAATAAAAGAAGTGAAATGCTGATGCTCGACACTTCACGGCGAAGAGTGATGATGACTCATGCTATATGGGAATCCCTTGTGTGCTGGTTCCACTTAAAACATGATAAAATTACCCCGATGTCCATTATAACAGGAATTTCTGTGCAAGAGCAATTTTTCCCCCTAAATGTTTTTAAAACATTTTTGGAATTGGGGGCTGTAAAATGGGTGTAGGAGGCACATGTGGCTCCCTTCTGTACTGTGCCTTCAAAATAATTTTTATGACCTGTCTGAGAAACAATAGGGAGGGCCTGATCAAAAAATCAAGTTCCATAAATGTGAAATCGTATGTGAAAAGGACTGAGATGACTTTCTGCAGTTTATCTTAATACTTCGGCAATTCATATGAGTATTAGTGAATCTAGGTAACTTAAAAGATAAACAGCAGCCCATTGAAAGGGCAGAAATATTCTTCCTCATAAGAATTATGCTGTCAAGGCAGATGTTTGGCAAGTAATTTGATTTCTTTTTTTCCCCCTTTAGACCGCCCTGGTTTGATGAATGTTAAACAAGTTGAGGCAATTCAAGACAATATCCTCCAGGCCCTGGAGTTCCATCTGCAGACCAATCATCCAGACACTCAATACCTCTTCCCTAAGCTGCTGCAGAAAATGGCTGACTTGCGACAGTTAGTTACTGAGCATGCACAGTTGGTGCAGAAGATCAAAAAGACAGAAGCAGAGACTTCTCTGCACCCTCTCTTGCAGGAAATCTATAAGGATATGTACTGAGGAGCCTATATTTATTAAATAGGTGAAAGCCATGGAATCCAGCAAACACTTTATACAGCGAAGAAATCGCCTGTGTCTTCAGTTCCTTCCACTGGAAGTGCTTTCCTGTATGATTGCTGCATTCTGTTAATTGGGTGTACAGCAAAAGACTTGGCATTTACCATAGAATGGTAGGTCAGGGCTTCCGTTAACATACACTACACACAACGACATCATAAGCTAAATATCTGTCGTTATAGTACAGCTGAGACATTGTTCCAGAGCAGCTGATGTGTTTACACACACCTTGCAAAATATGCTTGAACTGTGAATTGGATTGTACCATTGGACAATTAAAGCAAGCAGTAGCTTGTCTAGCAGGTACAGGAACAGCACTTATATCATATATCTGTTGAATATTGTTTTTATATTGCACTCTGAATTCTAGCTTGGCCCTAAGCCGTAAGTTGCAAGATATTACAAAAAATCAACAACAAAAAGGGCATGTATGTCTGTGTCTAAACTTCCCAAAGAGACCTCAAAGTGTTTGATGAAGGGTACGAACACTCCTTTTGGAGACTCCTTGAGAGGAATGGCCTTTGGTATTCTTCTTAGTGCACAAGAACACATATGCCTTTTGCACGAAAGGCCATATCTTCTATACTCCATGTTATTTTCTCTCCCTTCTCTTTGGGTCATTCTACACTGCAGTTTGTTTGTTCTATTTTATAGACAGGTATACAACTTGCTAACGAAACGAAGAGACGTGGGCTTCTTCTGTTCCTTGTAGTGTGCTCCAGGACTTGCCAAATAATAGAGTTGGGCCTAAAGAGGATGAGGATGAGATTTTGTTCTTGGATGGTAGCTGCCAAAAATCAAACTGGTTCCTTTATCTGATTCAAAGTAGACTTGACACTCCTTAGAGTATAGAAAAGAATAATCATAAATCTTCTTGTCTAGGAGAATATAGTGCAGGTCCTCTTCCTCAAAGGGCAACCCTCAGACCACTGTGAGATCAAGGTGATTTGAGGGTATTAGTGAAGACAGTGATGATCACTCTGCTCCTCTTTATCCTGGTCTTCCCAGAACTGCCTAGGAGATCTGAAGATGGCTCCTGATATGTGAATTGTATCTGTGCCTTTCCAAAAGCGCTTATGGGACAATGTGCTGCATTTGCCCATGGTTATCCCTGCCTTTGTAATAAAAGTGTCACAAGCAACCACTATAGAAAGAAATAGCATTTCATTCTCTCCCCTCCAACATTTCTTCCCAAGATCTCCATAACAATTTATTTTATATTTTCCAACTGCTTGGAGGAAACTCTAAGAGATAATCAGCTCCTCTTACCTTCCTTACAGTCCATGGGGATCTCAACAGGCACTTTTTGCCACATTGGTTGTAGTTGGAATAAATGATTTTCTAGCCAAAGGAAGGTTATTTTCACAGGAATCCATGGCTCATGTGAGACCATTTTGTTTAGCCATAGTTAATGTACAGTTAGGTTGCTTTCACCTTTGGCTTCTATATATATTTTCTCAGCAATAATATCAAATTAAATTGGCATGATGTTGGAGAGTGGCCTAAATACCTTGGCATTGAGATTTTAATTCTAGTACCATTCTCTCGTTATGAAGCCTTAGGCAAACTTGCTTGTGTCAGTTTGTGTCAAAGAGATTATAAACTTGTGGGGAGTGGGAGTCAGAAATTACTGTCAAAAGAACCATGAAATAGCAGATAGAATATAATATCCTCACAAGTGTGCAGAGGTACACTTTCAGCTGATGCAAAAATTACTTTAGTTCATAGATTGTCCTACCATTTCTGATTGAAATATGTATTTTTTTCTGCTTGTTCTCTGGGATCCACCAAATGCCAACATTGACAGTCTAGCTTCCAGGCTTGATCTTGATGTTAAAGAACATTAAGAAGCTTTCAGTATCTTACCTCATGACATTAGAAACTATATTTTTACAGTTTTCCCTTTTCAAAGTACAACTAATATTCTAAGCAGGAAGTTCAATGTCTGGTATCTCCTGTTAAACAGATCATATAGAAGGCGTTTTGAAAGCTTCTGTCTGAGAAACAAGATTACTATTGCCAGATAGAGATGATGATGCTGGGTTGACTAGACAAATAGTATGTCCCAATATGGGGTAGCTTCACATTCTTTTTGTATTGCATATTTCACCACACATTTTAATTTAGAATTTCCTTGGCCATATGAAAATAAGGGAAATAATTATGGCACTAGTTTTTCTCTCTGAGGTTGCAATATGCCATCTGTGCATGTATTGGCTGAGAAGGGAAGCTACAACTCTCTGAACCCCCCCCAGTCCAGCTCTATTAAGTTGTTATAACTCATAATGTAAATCTCCTTAATAAAGGGAAAACTAAGTTTGCAAAAAATTAAAGCATTATTAATATTGATATTTTGATTGGATGTCTGATCATAACCTGACTAATTTGCTGCCATTTCTAAGAGCACAATCCCCATATATATCCCTTCTATTTTGCAACTTGTCTGATAGCCACAAATGACAAGAAGATCCATGCGGCATATATAGTGAAATGGTAGTAGAGACAACAAGACTGCTCCATTTTTCATCCCCCTGCTTGCTTTCTGTGCTTCCTCAGTAGAGGGGAAGCTATTTTTACATTGGCCTGCCAGAAGATGCAGCATGCACTCCCATACTAGCTCTAGAGAGGGAATTTCCACTTTTCCATGACTACTCCAGAAATGCAGGTTCTTAAGCTCTTAGCAGATTTGCTGAATAAATCAAAATTAAGGGTAATAATTTCTGTAGACTTATTTACAAGGTTGTCTATATACAGCTATGCATATGCAAGTTAAGTGGGGATGGAATTACACCCAGGTGCCGACATTATCTCCAACTTGGTTTTCTGCATCACTTAAACAATGCCTAGTCATTTGATACAAGATTGAAGAATAGTGCTATTTTATTGCATAATTGTGGACTGGGGCCCATTTGTAACCTCAGCAAGCAACATGGGATCTCCTTCCCACAGAACAAAATCGCAGTGGCAGCAGCGACTCATAATTTTCCTGTAGGTTAATCAGGGGTCTCCAAACTTTTGACTGTGAGGGCAACACCGGATATTTTCAACATTTTTGAGGGCTGAACGCACAGGAATGTGCGTGCATGTACACTTGACCGCATACACAAATGCATGCACGTCCCCTGCCCCCCGCACACCCTTGCACGCACACTCACGCCCCCCGCACACACAAGCTGAAGGGAATGGGCTGGATAAAACAGCAAGGTGGGCTGAAGGTGTTTGGGGACCCTGGGCTAAATAATGGGCTAAAAGTCTAGCAAACAGTGCTGTTGGTGTGCTCTCATCAGAATCATTTTAGTTCTTATGTCTTCAATACAAAATAAAGACCTGCTGTTCTTGGAATCTAGCACCTGTCTAATCCCTGGGGTTACTACTGGTAGAAAATCTGAAAAATGTGTTTTATTAACAGTTCCTGGCATAGGACCACTGGTGCTTTAGCAACAAATTCTATTACATATTGTTTTTTTTTCCTGCATTCCCAGGTCCATCATGGAATCTTTGTTGTTTTTGATTGGAGGATAGCTCCATTCACTACCTAAACATGATAGCTACAACATGAAATTAGCTGGAATGTTTTTCTCCCCTGCTAGGGGAAGCAAAAGGGTTAATCCTTGCAGTTGTCTTCCAGTTCTGCACTGGATAACTATTTTGTACTTGACATTGTTGTGCCTCTGTTTCCATGTTTGAATAACTGGGATGTTTCACCTCTACCTTGCTAGAATCACGTAAGGCAGGTAGAATGTGTCTTAGTAAAGCAATTTGGAGTATTCATGTAGCAGGAGCCAGAGATCCATTAATCACTGAAAATAAAATGTTAGAGCATCTGCCTTTGGCCTTCATCTTAATCTAATACATTTTGGAGGTCTCTTTGTTATCCCTCAAGAGATGCTGGACATACGTTTTCAGCACTTCAGGGGTGTGCATATTATCTTTTGGGGAGTGGATGAGGCGTTGTAGTGATCCTCAAATTGAAATGTATATTTTTGCTATAAGTTCAAACTCCAAGTGTTTTTCACAATATAAATAGTAACTGATGACTTTAAATAAATTGGAAATATTTAAGAAACTATAACAATGTAGCACTTCTTTCATGCATTTTATGTTATTTATGAGTCTCCTTTTTGCCAATCATTTATAAAATTCATGGAAACAGGATTAACTACCATTGAAAATCAATTATAGAAGTATTACAATATTCAGATATTGAAAATTAAGGGCAAAGATATTTCTTAGTGAAAGTATTTTACAGGCCTCTGTCTACATTTTCTTTCCATCTTGATAATAAAGGAGGATTTTACAAATGAAGTACAATTGAACAGTGCCTCAGGCAAAAGTGCTTAGGTTATCCAGAAGCATGCTGGGACACAAAAACAGTCTCTTTGAAAAATACAAAATCAGACTTAACCTAGAATGTGGTAACCTGTTGCCTTTTATACAAATGGAAAGTCACAAGTGTAAACAAGGATCCATTTGTTTGTTTCATTATGTGCAGATGCTATCGAGAGATATGGTTGGTTCCGATCTCATGTTGTGTTGCAGAGTTCAGTCTGTATGGGTAGATAAGCCTCTGTGGCATGGGAGAAACTGACACTATTACTGACATATATCCTTCTTCCAGGCAACAAAACCTAATAACCATGATTGTTTCTTCCTCATGCATTCAGTTTTGATTTGTTCATACCTCTGTTGTACTTACAACTCCAAACCACAATAGATGCAGTCCAGGATCAGAGGCAAACCCCACATCTTTGAATAAATATGTTGGTGCTTTTTATACATGTTGAATAGGAGTTTGTCTTTATGAAAAATTGATTTTAAAAACAGTGCAGCTTAACCTAATTTGATTTTTTGAGTGTATTATTTATGAATGGTTATGATCCTGTGCAAAAAATGTTCAATGATTTTGTAGAATATCTTTTTGAAGATATTTTAAACTCCGAACATTGTAGAAAATAAACACAGTTTAGTGATAGCTGCTACAAATAGGCCAATCTTTCTTTCCAGTCAAAATGGCAAGGCCTTATGCAATTTCCAGCTTTAAAACCAGTACAAAAGTCACAGCACACTTGTAATATTCCCATTGAGCTACCCAAGCAAGCTATTCACAAGCAGTGGCCAATTTATAAACATAGGAGGAACTAGGTAATCTCTGATATAAGTGCCCCTAACGTCTACTTGTGATCAGTTAGTTAAGTGGGTCACATACACTGCACAATCTGCAGCAATTCAAAGCTGAAGCCAGCTGTTCAATTAAACTTCAGGAACTGAGTCCTCTTTGCAGCCAAAATGCTAGAGAAGTGTGGTGTTGGTAGGATGCCTACAGAAGACTTGAGAACAACTGCCCAACATTGACACATTGTTTGGCACACTCAAGACTATAATCCTGAACAAACTCATTAGGGAGTAAGCCCCATGGAATGTAAGATGTAGTCCCAAGAAAGCATGCAGAAGATTGCACTGTATGGTGGTTCAGTATGACCCCCAGAGGGACATTGCAAGTTTTTGTCCAGCGTTGTTTTTTAATCCCAGGTTTGGTCCAATCAGGAGGCTTTGAAAAAGGGAAAGTGGATCTTCATGCATATAAAGATATTTAATCTGCTGTGTCTCACTTCAATAAACTGGCTTGGCGTGAACTATTTTACCCAACAGTATGATTGTGTTTTCCTGGCTTAAGCATAGATGTGGTTAGATATAAGGGCACAAGTTGATGGACCATCTTATGCTTTTCATATAGTTTGACAAAACTCCAATTTTCATCAAACATTTCATCAAAGAGCAGCAACAAACATGTTAACATCTAGGAGAGATAAGATGTTACTTGTTTGTAGCAAAAGCAACACAGAATCCAATGACTATATAAAAATTAACAAATTCACAAGCATTTCTGGACTAGAGGCCACTTCGTCTGATGCACCTTATATAGAGTTTGCCTCAAAAAGCAACGTATATAAGTGTTTAACAAATAAATACTATTTAATGTGTTTGCAATTAAACAGTAATGATTTTCAAAGGAAAATCATGTGGAAGTCATGAGAAAGAAAGACATGTATTGTCTCTTCCACACACTAAGCTTTCACTATGCAGTTCACTATGCATCCCATTTAGGGAATTTTACAGTCAGTCCAAACAATGTCATTTTCTTAGAATTCACCTGTGTCTTTCTACTGCTTCTTCTAACTTCCTTATTTCTACCTGAAAATCTAGTGAGGAGGCAAATATGAAATAGTTGTACAAGATATTTTGTTTGTTAGTACTAGGAACTCTTTGTCTGGAGACACCTGAAATCAAAACAGGTTGAAATCTTCTCTTATCTTGCAACTGCAGAGCTGGGAGGGATCCTCTGGATCAGTGCCCAGCCCCTGCCAAGGAGGCACAGTGGGGAATTGAACACCTAACTTCTGGCTCCACGGACAGATGCCTAAATGACTGATGATTGCATATGTCATTAAGCAATGTATTTCCCTTTGAGAATCCATGATATTTACTTGCAAACACATTAAATAGTATGTTGACATTTGCATATCTTAAACTATTGATATTTCTTCTACCTATTTTCCCTCCTCCATCTGAATCCAGTCTGGCTTTCCATATGATATGTTCATACAGATTGAATAGGGAAGGGGATAAAATGCACCCTTGTCTGACACATTTACCTAGGTCCTATAGAAAGCCATTCTGTCTCTGTATTCTGTCCTAATGGTAGCTTCCTGTCCACAATACAGGACAGGTTACAGGACAATCAAGTTCTGTGCCACACCCATTTATTTCAGAACACTGTTGGCTCATTTCTATAGTTTCTCATGATCACAGAATAATCAAGTTGGAAGGCCATCAAGCCCAACTCCCCTACTCAGTGCACAAATAAAAATCAATGCCGATCTGCCAGGTTGTTGTCTAAGTGTCTCTTGAATGCCTCCAGTGTTGAAACACTCACCAGCTTTCAAATTGATTCCATTGCCATACTGCTCTAATAGTTAGGAAGTTTTTTTTCCTGATAATCAACCGAAATTCGGCTTCTTGTAACTTGAGCCCATTGTTGCATTCTGATAATCAACTGAAATTCAGCTTCTTGTAACTTGAGCCCATTGTTGCATGCCCCGCATTCTGTGATTATTGAGAACAGATCCTGCCCCCTCCTCTGAATGACAGCCTTTCAAGTACTGTATTTGAAAAGTGCTATCATGTCATCCCTTTGTCTTCTTTTCTCAAGGCTAAACATGCCAAATTCTTTCAGTTTTTCCTCATAAGGCTTGGTTTCCAGCCCCCAAATCATCCTTGTTGTCCTCCTTGTTCCAATTCGCTGGCATCCTCCTTGAAGTGCAGTGTCCACAACTGGACACAGAACTCAAGATAAGGCCTAACCAGTGCTGAATAGAGGAGAATGAGTACTTTATGGGATTTGGAGACTATATATAATTTTGTTATTGCAGCCTAAAATAGCATTTGCCTTTTTTGTAGCCACATCACATTGTTGGCTCATTTCTAGCTTGTGATCTAGAAAAGATCCTTCTCGCTTTGTAGCATTGCTGAGTCAGGTATACCCCATGTTGTAACTTCGTATTTGGTTTCTTTTTGCTAGATGCAGTACTTTGTATTTATCTCTGTTAAATTTCATTCTGTTCAGTCCAGTGCTCAAGCTTATCCAGATCATTTTGAATTTTGTTTCTGTCTTCCAGGGTATTTGTGATTCCACCCTATTTTGTTTCATCTGCAAATTTGATTAGCACTCCCTGCACCCCTGATCTAGGTCATTAATAAAAATTTTGAACAGCACAGGGTAGATCATTAATAAAAATTTTGAACAGCACAGGGCCCAGGACTGAGCCTTGGGGTACCCCACTGGTTACCTTTTCCCAGTTTGAGAAGGGGCCATTAATCATCAGCCTCTGAGTACGATCCACACAGTCAAGACTTTGCTATAGTTTATGAAGCACAGACTGATCTTTTGAAATTCTTTGGTGCTCTCCAGTACTCAGTTGGTATTCATAATATGATCTTAAGTGTTTCTTCCTTTTTGGAATTCAGCTTAAAAATCAGGCATTACTCAATCCATATAAAGTAAAAGCCTTTTTTGCAACACTTTGAGCATCACTTTGCTCACATGGGAAATTAGAGCAATGGTTCTATAGTTACCGCATTCCTTGGCATCTCCTTTCTTGAGAATTGGAATGTATATTGCATGTTTTCAATCTGTGGCCATTTGGGCAAGGAGGCCCAAACATGCACAATATTACCATCCCAAATGATGCCATTATATATCACTTCATTTATATGGCACAGTGGTTAAACCGCTGTACTGCAGCCAAAACTGTGCTCACGGCCCGGGGTTCAATCCCAGGAAGCCGGCTCAAGGTTGACTCAGCCTTCTATCCTTCCGAGGTCGGTAAAATGAGTACCCAGCTCACTGGGGGGTGGGCAATGTATAGCCTGCATAATTAACTTGTAAACGGCCCAGAGAGTGCTTGAAGCGCTATGGGGCGGTATATATGCAGCACGCTTTTTGCTTTGCTTTATCTGGACACTGCAATTAAAAGGAGGGTTTAAAAGTGGTAAGACCCAGTTACCCTTATGCTACAAGAAACCTACCATGAAAGGATCCCTCCTCTACTTATGTGCATGAAGCTTGATACCAATGATATAACATGTGGCCCCAGTAGGTCCAAAGGTATGCTGACTATACTAGTTACCATAATGTCATTCCAGTTTCTGGGGAAGCTCACATCAAAAGGGCAAATATGTTTTCAACAAAGGGGCTGCTGAAAAAAAGAAGTCTCCCCTCAGTTTCCTGTACAGCATGAACTCATGCCAACTTGAGAGAGGGAGAAGCACTGTCACATTCCTAGGCAAAGGTCAAATAAACAAAAGACTTGGGAGTGCCAATCCCCAAAGTTTCCCCCTCCACTCCCTGGCAAATGTGGGAAACAATAACAACCGTTACTGTGTTTCAGCACAACAACAACAAAACCCCCAGGAAAATAAAGTCTTGCAGTACCTTTAAGTCTAATGTATTCAAGAATTAACTTTTCTGAATTACAAGATCTGGGACAAAGTCTGTTAGACACAAGATTTATTTCCCTCGCATATGGATGAATTAGATAAATAACAATTATGTAACTATGCAGCAAATTTGCTGTTTTGTAGATGTTACAAATGAGGTTTTGGGTCCTCTTGAACTTCTCATGAGGCATAGATGATTTAAAACACAAATTTAAAGTGAACAGGAATGACCAGATTTCAAAAATATTTTTCTCAACCCAAAGTTTTATGCTATATTTGCCTGATTAAAAGTTCTGAAGAACTCAAATGCACATCTTATTGGTAATTTTTAGTGATCCAATAAGTTTGCCCAACCTTAGACTTTGTCTCTGTGATTGAATCACACGGCTATTTTAAAATACAGTATTTATTTGTAGATGTTGATACTATTAAAATCTGTGCTTCATTTCAGCTACTTCACACCATGACTGACACATTAAATAAAGAATTGAGAAGCTAGTGAAACTGTGTTTACGTGGGGTGGAAGTTAAGCTACAAAAAGGATGTGTCAAGATGCACATGTTCTGAAAACATATACCCATCTTATAAATGAGGATGTCTGGGGGCATTTGGTCTGTACTCTGAATTTACTTGCTTTGCGGATACAGCTTCAGCTGTAACTTCTCTTTGAGGAATTTGTTTTACAATTACTCTGTCCTTCATTATAGATCCAGAACAGTATACTAGGACTTCCACAGTAATCTTCACTTCTTTCCTCCTCCATTTACCCTCTCCTTTTTTAACAATCTTGGAAATGGAGAGAAAACTTTTAAGTGGTAGGATGCTGTGCTTTTTGCTTATTTTCAACCTTTTGGGGGCACTCTGACCTGCCAACACCAGCTGAATCCCTTTGATGAAGGATTATTAATTTAATCTGGGTCTTCTGCCCTGCCAAAAAGCAACACCATTTATATACTGTACTCACTGTCTTTTCTGTATGGCAAATACCATTATACACAAATTTAAAGTTATATTTGTTTACTGAGAACCTGGAAGAGACAAACAAAAGGATTTGCACTGAATTCCTTTCATTGACCAAGGTGGCTGGATTTAAAATTACAATGAGTGGGAAATACCTTGTTGAAGTTGATTGTCCAAGTGTCATAGCTCATCCTGAAGTGTGTACTTTAGAATTAATTGCTCCCTTTTATTTTCCAAGATGCAACTTTCAATTGTTGCTTCTCCCTAAATTTGTTGCTACTATCAAGTAATCCATGCCTTTTGCATCAGGATGAAGAGTTTTGAGTAGTTGCTGGGTTTTATATTTTCAAAAATGGTAGCCAAATATTGTGTTTCTGCTTTCCAGAAGTCCTTGAATGGGTCCCACAGATATCCAGCATTTTTTTTCTACACCCCAGGAAGATCTTGGAGGTGGTGTAATCTGACACAGGAACAACTACAAGCCACTCATGGAGTCTGAAATCTCTTATCTTGGAAATGGGTTTAATGATAGGCCTCTTGGCTGCAAACAACATCTGGCAAAAAAAAAACCACCTGGGTTTTTTCCACCCTGTTTTGTTTTAATACTGCCTAACCCAATGAAGGGGTGGGAACAATATAAAAGTTTGAAAGGTAAGTTTGTGATCTTTCAAACTGGCCAAATAAAAGAGATTACACATATCTGAATTTTTAGTTTTTTCTCCCCAAGTTTTGGGACAATGGATTTTCAATTTTTTTCCAACTTTTTCCAAGCCAATCACTTTTTGCCCGACTTACCCGGTAAGGTTCTTAAAAGCATAAAGGAGCTTCTAAAAAGTTTAATCTAAGCCCCCTTGACCTCATTGGAAGAAAGGCTGAACAACAAAGAGACATAACTAAGCTTTCCTAACAAAACGCGAGAGGAGGAGTCGAAGCTGCCGGAAACGGGGGCAAGTGATTGCCACCCCCCACTCCCGCTCTGTCCGGCGGACGAGCGTTCCCTCTTCCCGAGTTGCCTGAAAATGGGAAGATAGCCTCTCTGGGGCAGCCCTGTTAAAATTCGAGCCAGCTCATTCGGCAGCCTCATAAGACGCCGGGCGTCACCGTCTTCCGTTCTCCAATCAGCTCCTTTCTCCTAAGCCCCTCCCTCTATTATAAATATTTCTGGAGGGAGGGAAGACCAAGTACATTTTGAGAATTCTTTCGCGTCTCGCTGGGCGCGAGATGGAGCCCCGGTGGTCGGTAGGAGGCGGCGCCGCCGCGGCTGCACGCCAGGCCACTAAAGCGCCCGGATCCAGCAGAATCCCGTGCAGGTATGATGTCGTTGCAGCGGAGGTGGGGTGGGGTCGTCTGAATCGCCCAAAAAGTGTCTTTCACTCGCTCGAGAACACCTAAAAGAGGTTACATCAGACCCATGTGCTCGCTGACGGCCGTGCAACTTGCGAACCGAGATTTTCGCCTTGTGGGCTGG